GACTCTCCTGCTTCAGCCTCCCAAGTAGCTGGGACTGCAGGTGCCCACCACCACGCCCGGCTAATTTTTGTATTTTTAGTAGAGACAGGGTTTCACCATGTTGACCAGGCTGGTCTTGAACTCCTGACCTCAAACGTTCTGCCCACCTCAGCTTCCCAAAGTGCTGGGATTACAGGTGTGAGCTACCATGCCTGGCCCATATTTGTTTTATAATAGATGAGGAATTATTATATTTTAAAAATTCTTACTAAATAAAACTACATAACATAATCCTAGAGATAGAGATATGTTAGAGCAATTTTACTGCATTATAGATAGATTTTCTTTAAGATAAACATTTTCATATCACCTAGAAATAATACTGTAAGAGGTTTGTATGATGATAGACAATTTAGTGTCAGTGGCTTTTGAATGGGTAAAAAATACGAAGGCTGGTGTGAGATCATTTAGAAGGTGGTTTTTCAAAAATATTATGTTAATTTCTCTTACTGGGTTGTTTCACTTTTTAATCCTACAGCTCCGTAATGGGAGGAATCCTTTAGATCTCATTGCTCCAGGATCCAGACTAGAATGTCAAGCTTTCCAGGACTCTTTAAGCACTTGGATTGTTACTGTAGTAGAAAACATTGGGGGAAGGCTGAAGCTACGTTATGAAGGACTTGAAAGTTCTGACAATTACGAACATTGGTTGTATTACTTGGATCCATTTCTTCATCACGTTGGTTGGGCTGCTCAACAGGGATATGAGCTTCAGCCTCCTTCAGGTGAAGAGTAATAGAGCATTTTTCTTCTGTGGCATTAACATGCTATGTTATTAATATCTATGAGGCTAAAAAAAATACATTCTGTATGTTATGAAAACCTTTGTTAATTATCATAGTAGAGCTATTACAAAACAGTTTATGTGGAGTTGTTAAACTAAGTACCTATTTTTCTTTTTTGTTCTTGTTGTTCTGCTTTTGTTTTGTTTGTTTGTTTGTTTGTTCTTTGTTTTGAGACAAGAGTCTTGCTCTGTTACCCAGCCTGGAGTGCAGTGTCATGCAACCTCCACCTGCCGGGTTCAAGCAGTTCTTGTGCCTCAGCCTCCCCAGTAGCTAGGATTACAGACACACGCCACCATACCTGGCTGATTTTCGTATTTTTAGTAGAGATGGGGTTTCACCATGTTGGCTAGTCTGGTTTCGAACTCTTGACCTCAAGTGATCCGCCCACCTTAGCCTCCCATAGTGCTGGGATTACAGGCATGAGACACCGTACCTGGCCAAGTGCCCATTTTTCTTTTCTTTTTATTGTTTTTATAATTTACCACACTTATTGATATACCTCATAGACTTCTGTGCCAACCCATACTGACCCTTGACCTAGATAAAATAAAGAAAAAATTATCTAGGGAGCATTTAGCTAGGTATATAGAAAATTGGGTCACAGCAAATTGTTGATTAAAAGAAATACCAATAATATTGGTATTTCTGGAGTTACTGTTTAAATCAATTTGCATTTATTATTATGTGCCCCAATTTGGATGTTATATTACAATTTTATGGATTACAGCAATCCTTATGATCTTACTGTAGGTATTTTCATAAAGCCAAGCTGTCCAAGCTCTTCGTAGAGCGAAGTGCTGAAGTTAAGGTGCAAGTTCTTTAAGTGTAGAGGGATATAAGTGGGCTTGAACCCTTTTCTAGTTCCAGTGGAAAGTGACTTTTTTTATGTGAATGCTTTCGGGACAGGTAAAAAGTATAAGTTTCTCATCATCTAAAGCATGTTGTCATGTTTTATTAAAGCCATCAGACATCTAAAAAATGAAGCTGAGTGGCAAGAGATTTTGGCCAAAGTGAAAGAGGAAGAGGAAGAGCCATTACCATCTTACTTATTTAAGGTAAAAACAAAACATTTGATAGATCGGTATTGCTCCACTTACAGTAGAGTAAAGCAACGCCAGGGGTGAAAGTGTAAAGTAGGCCCTGCAGTCGGTAAGAATGGAGGGTGTGTTAGCGCTGGACTGGTGATCATCCTTGTTTTCTTCTAACAGTTGTCTAGATTTTCTCCCCAAGTTCTCCTGAAGTAGTTTGAATCTTTTCTACCCTTAACTACATACGCCTAACTTATAAAATAAATTTGTTTTTTCCTCCAGATATTCCTTGTCTTTGAATGTAGAGAGTAGAAGCACTTTCTGTGTTTTTGTTTTTTCCTGAATAGTTTTTTCCAGAGAAGAAAAGTATTGGCTAGTTTTGCACATTTAAAAAAAAGAAGAAAACTATAGGGTTTACCAGAGCTGGATATTTCTGTTGATCACAGTAGGATTCAGCTACATGTAAGTGTAAAATTGATTCAGATACTATGTTTTCATCCCCTTTTGGTGTCTGCATTTCAGGACAAACAAGTTATTGGCATTCATACATTCTCTGTAAACATGAAATTGGAAGCTGTAGACCCCTGGTCTCCTTTTGGGATCTCTCCGGCTACAGTTGTTAAGGTAAAATGGGGATAACTCTCTTGGTAAGAATCCCTGTCAAGGTGACTGGTTTAGGAAATTGGTAGTGTTTTGATCTTTAAGCTCTGTTGATCCAACCCATTTTTCCTTCTAAGCCGTGCAGTTAGAATTACTTCTGTGCACGTTTTGTATTTGTCCAGTTTGCTGTGGCCCGTTCCTTCTTCAGAGCTTGGTAACCCTAGCCAAAGCAGTCTTGGGCCTGGGCACTAGACTAGTAGGGGACGCATTCTTTGGGGCAGGCCTAGGTGTATATAAGTAAAGGAGATTTAACTCCTTTAGGAGGCAGGGTATCTGTAAAGTTGGAGGCAGGCAGTCTCATCAACATCTAACTAGATGCAGAGCTCTTTGGAATGAGGAGATGAGTTGGGGATTAGGCAATTAGTGTTAAAAGTTCTAGCAGTGGCCTGGCTCCAGCTATGTATTCCAGATTCAGATTTAATCCTTTGGAATACTGACAAAAGTAAGAAGTAAGGTTATCAAGGCCCTGCTCAGTCACTACAACTGAGGCATTGGCCAGAGAATTTCAGTTTTCAACTAGAGCAGAAGCACATTTACTGAAAATAGAAGCCAAAGTTGAATGTGACTAGAGGAATAGTTGCTTGGGTGCTAAATTGTCTGATCTATTGAGATTTAAGTTTTCCCTGTCTTGGAAGAAGATTATTCTCAAAGCAAGGAGGGATTCTGAGCCTGAAAGTGGGGCCAGAAGGCCCTATCTAGAGTCTGAAGGGAGGGCTAGTGGGAAGCCAGAGGAGGTTCATAAAGTTGTCTCTTTGGCTGGGTTCAGTGGCTCACGCCTGTCATCCCAGCACTTTGGGACACCGGGGCAGGTAGATCACCTGAGGTCGGGAGTTGGAGACCAGCCTGACCAACATGGAGAAACCCCGTCTCTACTAAAAATACAAAATTAGCTGGACGTGGTGGCGCATGCCTGCAATCCCAGCTACTCAGGAGGCTGAGGTGGGAGAATCGCTTGAACCCGGGAGGCGGAGGTTGTGGTGAGCCAAGGTTGTGCCATTGCACTCCAGCCTGGGCAATAAGAGCAAAACTCCGTCTCTAAATAAGTAAATAAATAAAGTTCGTTCGTTGGCATTTGAAACTGGGCTAGAATTTGAAAAACGAATATACAGTAGCATAAGCTTAAACTAAGCTTCTCACTAAGTTTAGACTAAATTTTGTTCAGAGCCCAACTACATGGGTTTGGATCCAGATTTTGCTTCTTCCTCATTTTGTAACCTGGGGCAAGTTATTTAACCTGTGTTTGAACTCGTTCTCCTTATCTGCAAAATGGAGTTGATAGTGGTACTTGGGCCAGGTGTGGTGCTCAAGCCTGTAATCCCAGCACTTTGCGAGGCTGAGTCAGGAGGATCACTTGAGCCCAGGAGTTTGAGACAAGCCTGGGCAATATAGCAAGACCACAAAAATTAAAAAATTAGCTGGGCGTGATGGTGCATGCCTGTTGTCCCAGGTACTCAAGGGACTGAAGTGGAAGGATCAACTGAGCCCAGGAAGTCAAGACTGCAGTGCTTCAGTGAGCCACGTTCATGCCACTGCACTCCAGCCTGGGTAACAGAGCAAAACCCTGTCTCCAAAAAGTATATATGTATTTTTTATATATATATTAAAAAAATGGTACTTTTTCGATTAAGAAGATTGAAACTGAATTGATACATGAAAAGCATTTAATTAAAACAGTAATTATATGCATTATATAACACAGAGCTAACATTTAGTGTTTAGTATTAGTAATACCCACATGATTATGAACTTTTGTAATATGTTTGGCTGTGCCAAGAAAAAAGCACATGCATTTGTCTATTTCACCTATTAATTACATGTATAGGTTTTTGATGAGAAGTACTTTCTGGTGGAAATGGATGACTTGAGACCTGAAAACCACGTGCGGCGATCCTTTGTGTGCCACGCCGACAGTCCTGGCATCTTCCCTGTGCAGTGGAGTCTGAAGAATGGCCTACACATCAGCCCCCCTCCAGGTGCACATTTGCTCTCTTCTGAGTTGTTACTTGAGAGCTTCTCCTTGAGATAAGATGGCATTGCTTAAATCTTTTGTCCCTCTTCTCATGCCCTAGCCTGTTCCTAACGTTTTTGGGGTCTGAGAAGAGTGTAAGGAAAGGTCTAGATTCCTTGTAGTTACATATTTCAAAGTCATAAATTGAGCTGAAAAACTGCTATTAAAGAGAGTGTGTGGGCCAGGCACAGTGGCTCACGCCTGTAATCCCAGCACTATGGGAGGCCGAGGTGGGCGGATCACGAGGTCAGGAGATCGAGACCATCCTGGCTAACACGTTGAAACCCCATTTCTACTAAAAAATACAAAAAAATTAGCCGGGCGTGGTGGCGGGCACCTGTAGTCCCAGCTACTCGGGAGGCTGAGGCAGGAGAATGGCGTGAACCCGGAGGCGGAGCTTGCAGTGAGCCGAGATTGCGCCACTGCACTCCAGCCTGGGCGACAGCGAGACTCCATCTCAAAAAAAAAAAAAAAAAAAAAAAAGAGTGTGTTCTATCCTCTGACTTTGTTATCTGTGCCCTCATAACCCCCTAGAAAGCCAAGTTCCAACCTGAGTTCTATGCTGGCTCCTTAGTTCCATTTATGTCTGTTAGGGGTGGCAGAGGGGTGGGCTTGGATGCACAGTGAGCATTGGGGGCTGGCTTGTGAGAAGAGGCCATAGAGCCGGAGTTAGAAGGTAGATTACTGATTATCTTTAGGTGTCTGAGTCTTATCATGGAGGGAACTTTCTAGAGAGAGGTTTATGGTGAAGAGTAGGACTCAGGCAGTAGGTAGGAAAATAAAAGCTTGTTTTCCTGATATTTGCAACTTTGCAAAATATAGTCTTTGATCCTTTAATCAAGGTGCTTAATTAATGGTTTTAGTTGAGCTTCACTGAAATTTTTAATATTTTTAAACTTAGAGAATCTAGAACATTTCAGATGTTTATCTGATTTTTTAATATTAGCAAATCAGATTATTTGATTGGCAGTCTATGTATATGTTATTAGTAGGTTTTCAGTAAAGCATAGCATCACTTTCTAAATGGTGACTGCTGGAACACTGGGCTGGAAGTATTCTTTCGTGTTAACAAGGGTCATACACTCAGAACCTTTTGTCTTTCATTAGCTTTTATTCATCCAACAAACATTTATGTAATGTTTGCTGTAAGCCAGGCATTGAGCTTATTCCTAGGAAGAGTGACAAGCTCAATGAGTACAGCCCAGCCCCTTCAAGGGGCAAATAGGCGGAAATATCAACAGAACTTCCTAGATTCTCCTCCATTAGTGAACACAGCAGAAGAATGCCTGGTTGGAGGGTATGGTGTGGAATAGCCACAGAAGGAAGTTCTTGCTTTGCAGGTACGCTCTGGATATCCCAAGTTCTTTACTGTTCTTGCCACTTCTATATGAAAAGGAAGAAAGAATTGTTAAAAACACTGAAGCTTTCAGTGTTGTTATAGACAAATCAACTGTGTCTTTGTAAATAGAGGGAAGGTAGTAGATAACTGAAAATGGCAGAAAATGTACTGTCAGGAATTGAGGTGGGGGCAAAGGGAGAACATAATGCCAGTCTCAGGTAGGCAGGGACTGTTGGGCTGTCAGAGGGCATAGACTTGAGTAGCCTGTGTTTTGCCTGTGAGACATTAAGCTCTCGGGAGGCTGAGAGCAACTCAGACACAGTAGGCAGTTGGGCTTTGCTCAGCTCTTTGCATGCAGATGGTTCTGAGTCAGCACCAGCTTGGAGATGCTTCCGTCAAGAACCTTAGTAGACTTAAGTGGGGCGCTAAGCTTGTTTTTTCTAAAATAAACACATGATTTAGATTATAAAAGCATTGATATTCTGTAATATATGAATCTGAAAATGACAAGAGCATTTGTATCAGTGATATCTCAGACACATTTCAGGAAATAGCTTTAATGAAGAAAAAAGTCTTCGTCTTTGCAGATTAACTAGTACTATTTGCTGTCTCTTTTCCTTAAGAGCCTGAGCCCTTTAGAATTGACAATAAGAGTGGATTTATATATACAAATCAAATCCAGTCATAACTATCTTAAATTCTTTTGGCAAATCGCCAGCAACTAATCATATAAAATAGTGCTCAAAATAAATGCCTAGTTTGAAATTTGAAAGTTTAAAAATTTATCCAAAGAGTCTCATTGTCTTATTACAGTTTGACCAGAGTTGCTCTGTTTTATAAAATTAACAGTGCTCTAGATTTATAGAATGCTTTTTGCCCCTCTAAAATGATCAAAGTTGTCAGACTAGCAGCACTGGAAGTTGTGAGTGGACCCTTGGTGAGTGGTGAAGCCAGGCAAGCATGTGCAGTGTGGCAGTGTGAATCATTGTTCATTTGTCCCCACCTAGGCTACCCAAGCCAGGACTTTGACTGGGCTGACTACCTCAAACAGTGTGGTGCTGAAGCTGCTCCCCAGAGGTGCTTCCCTCCGGTGAGGACCCCCACGACCTCATGGCTACTATGCAGGGCTGCGGGGACTGCTGCGTTTCCCTTGCTTTCCGTGGTTATTACTCTGAAGATAATCATCTCACTTAATCCAGATGAGCACAGTGGTGATTGTAATCACATGGTCTAAAGGAAAATACATTTACTGCAGAAGTGAATCAGTTAGTTTGCTAATTAAGTTAGTTTTATAAGTTTATTGGTTTTATTTTTTCTTAGCTGAAATCATGTGAATTTGAAATTTTATGATTATTTTTCATAATTCAATAATAGGAAAAACTGTTGAAATATTAAGTGGAGAAAAATTGTTAAGCTTATTTAAATTCTTCTATCCAAATAATACATGCATGTGGTTTAAAAAGCCATGTAGCAATAAAAGGCTTAGAAGGTAAAATAGCAGTCCCCGCCCTACCCCTTTTCACAGTCTCCCTTCCGAGAAGTAACTACTTCCTGTTCTTCTCACTGTAATTCTAGTAGTTGTATTTCTTCATTTTCAAAATGAAAAGCTTCTATCTTTTGAGTCATTTATTTTAGACATGTCACTTGGTTCTAATTTTAAAACTTTGACTTTATTAAAACAAATTAACTTCACCCTGTCTTATGGTGCTGAATCTGTTGGTTCTATATTATGATAAATTAGCATTTAGTTATTTTTTGTTTCCTTTCCTCTCTGTCTTACCCTGTTCTTCTTCCTTTAGAGTTATATTACAATTTTTGGTTAAATACAAAATGAGTTTTTTACATTATGATATGCATTCAAATATGACTCACAGCTGAGCACTACAATTTTGTTTTGTTTTGTTTTGAGACAGAGTCTTGCTCTGTCCCCCAGGCTGGAGTGCAGTGGCATGATCTCGGCTCACTGCAGCTTCTGCCTCCCGGGTTCAAGAGATGTTCCTGTCTCAGCCTCCCAAGTAGCTGGGATTACAGGCGCCCACCAGCACACCCACCTAATTTTCATTTTTATAGTAGAGATGAGGTTTCACCATGTTGGCCAGGCTGGTCTCGAACTCCTGACCTCAAGTGATTTGCCCACCTCAGCCCCCCAAAGTGTTGGGATTACAGGTATGAGCCACTGCACTTGGCACTGCAGTATATTATGATTGTTTCTTTTAAAAAATTTTTATCCTCAGTATTAATTTCCTTGTTTTTAATTTACTTAATTTTCTTTTATCTATTGCTGCTGCTTTCCACACCTCCCAGTAGTCTCTCATTAGCAAAAGCAGTCACATCAGGAAATTTGTGATTCCTAACACTTTCGTTAAAGAGACATCCCTCTTAGCAACCTCCTCTCTCTGTCTCTCTGGATGGGTTGCTCTTTAGACTTGCCGTGTAGTTTTTGTGGGTTTTATTGTTGTTGTTTGTTTTTTTTGTTTTGTTTTTTGTTTTTGTTTTTGTTTTTTAGACAGAATCTTGTTCTTGTCACCCAGGCTGGAGTGTAGTAGTGTAATCTCAGCTCACTGCAACTTCTGCCTACCGGGTTCAATCGATTTTCCTGCCTCACCCTCCTGAGTAGCTGGGAGTATAGGTACCCGCCACCATGCCTGGCTAATTTTTATATTTTTAGTAAAGACTGGGTTTCACCATGTTGGCCAGACTGGTCTCGAACTCCTGGCCTCAGGTGATCCGCCCACCTCGGCCTCCCATAGTGCTGGGATTACAAGTGTGAGCCCTTGTGCTGGCCTTGCTGTGTAGTTTTAATCGTGGAAATACCCTTGTCACCCAGGGAATTGCCCACTCCCTTTTTGTATGATTTGGGGTCCCTTGTTTTGTAGAGATCTCATGGCCTCCTCTTCCTTGGTTTGTTTCCTTGTTTTGATGGATTCCCATCTCTCAGTAGCTTCCCGTAACAGGGTGCAAGGGAAGTAAAGTTTTGTCGACACTGTATATTTGAAAATGTCTTCACTCTACTAACTTGATTCATAGTTTGGCTCAATGTGGAAGTTAATTTACTTGAGAATTCTGAAAACATTGTTCACTTGCTTTCTAACTTCCAATGTTACTGTCAAGAAGTTAAAAGTTACAAAGCTATTCTTATTTTTGTTCTTTTGTAGATGACAGGCTTTTTCCCCCTCTCTGGAAGGTTATAGAACCACTTTTCACAGTGATGAATCTTGATGCGAGCCTCTTTTCATCCACTGTGCTGGGTTCTCAGTGGGCACTTTCTCTCTGGATCTTCATGCCTTTCTGTGTTGGGAAATTTTTTTGAATCACTTCTTTGATTTCCTTCCTTCCGTTTTATCTCTTTTCTCTTTCTGAAAGTTCTTTTATTTGGTTGTGGCCCTCTGGATCAAACCTCTGCTTTTTTAATCTTTTTATCCTTTGTTTTATGTTTCTTAGTCTTTTTGCTTTGTTTTCTGGAAGATTTCCTAAACTTTGTCTTTTGACCTTCCTTTTGAGTTTTTAATTTTTGGCATCATGTTTTTTATTTTCTGGAACTCTGAATAGTTCTTTCTCTCTCTCTCTTTCTTTTTGTCTGTCTGTCTGTCTTGAGATGGAGCTTTGCTCTTGTTGTCCAGGCTGGAGTGCAATGGCATGATCCCGGCTCACTGCAACCTCTGCCTCTCAGGTTCAAGAGATTCTCCTGCCTCGGCCTCCCTAGTAGCTGGGATTATAGGTGCCCGCCACCACACCCAGCTAGTTTTTGTATTTTTAGTAAGGATGGGGTTTCACTATGTTGGCCAGGCTTGTGTCAAATTCCTGACCTCAGGCGATCCACCCACCTCTGCCTCCCAAAGTGCTGGGATGACACATTATTTTATTTTATTTATTTTTATTTTTATTTTTATTTATTTATTTTTTTTTTGAGATCGAGTTTTGCTCTTGTTGCCCAGGCTGGAGTGCAGTGGCGCGATCTTGGCTCACCACAACCTCCGCCTCCCGGGTTCAAGCGATTCTCCTGCCTCAGCCTCCCAAGCAGCTGAGATTACAGGCATGCGCCACCATGCCCGGCTAATTTGTTTGTATTTTTAGTAGAGACGGGGTTTCTCCGTGTTGGTCAGCCTGGTCTCGAACTCCCAACCTCAGGTAATCCACTCGCCTCAGCCTCCCAAAGTGCTGGGATTACAGGCGTGAGCCACCGTGCTCAGCACTTCTTTATTTTTAATATCATACTATTCTTGCTCTAAGGATGCAATAGTTTTTCTTATCTCTCAGAGGATGTTAATTAACACCCCTAATCCACCCCCCCCACACACACCTTTTGGGAAGTTTTCTTCTTGCATAATCACTGCTTTTTCCAAGTTGCTTGTCTGTTTTGGTCTCTCTTACTCTCTTACTCTCAACTTTCATCTTCTTAGGTGTCTAGTAATTCTTGGTTGTTGCTGTATTTAAGAATGGGTGACTAAAATTGGAAGCTCTGAGCAAGTAGATGGAGCTTGTCAACCTTGAACTTTCCTATCTGATTGACCATTTGTTGGGGAAACCTGAATCCATATCATATGTGTTTCTTCTTGGGCTTATCATATCACCATAAGAAGTGTCTTCTAGTCCTCTGCCTGGTGGGTCATAGGCAGGTGGGTCATAGGCAGAACCTCTCAGCAGTCCATAGGCTAACCACTATTTTTGTCACGGCATGCATGCCCTCAGCAGTTCCTTGTGTCCTCTTACCTAGGCATCTTCTCTTTTACCCTATCCAGAGGATAAGTCTCACCTTCTGTAGGGGAGAGGAAGGAATGGTTTCCCTAATGCATGGAGTCGAGGAGCCAATGGCATAACCTAAATGTTTCTTAAATGTTTTCAACAAATCCTCCTTGTTTTGACTATGTCTCCTCTACCTCCAGTTGCCTAGTACCTGGTTCTTCACTTTGTTTACTGCCAGCGTAGATTCGCCTTTCTTTAACTTAGTTTCTAGATGCTGTTCTAAATTTTAGCTTATAAAATGTTGTTTCCTCTCCTGTTACATCCATCTTAATATAGATGTTAAGTTTTTGTCTTCAAAACAGAAGCAAACCAAAAACAACTTTAATTTTTTAAGTTAGGTGTCAGAAGAGAGAACACTCAAATGCAGATGTTCAATTGTCCATTTTGACTCGGGTGCTGGATATTTTTCTGTTTTAAATGACCCTTTCTCACTGTTGAGAAACATTCTTTATCCTGACTGCCTTTTATGATACACATACAAGTATGAACCAGGCAGTTTGTGGTATGATGGGGTGCTTTATGTGAGGGGAAGTGAGTCAACAGTGTTGATAGCCACTTGATTCAGGATACAGAACCTTAGAGACTTTATTTCATTGATACCTTGTAATAGCACAGCCAGATAGGAGTTTTCAACCTCATCTGACAGGTGAAGAAACTGAGGCAAAAAGAGGCTATACAGCTTGAGCAAGGTCAATAATGCAGGAATATCTGACATCAAAGAGTGTACTTCCTGAATACTTCTATAACACCAAGAAAGGCAGACATTTTCCTTTTGCTTCATTAAAAAGCAAAACAATGCAAAATAAATGTTATATTTAAACCTAGGGATTAAATACTACTTGAAAAAGGTTTTCTAGCTGAGCACATGAGTTGATACTATGTTAATCCAGTAAATGGATTTGATTCATTCATTTTCTAGTTAATTTCTGAACATGAATTTAAAGAGAACATGAAGCTTGAGGCAGTGAACCCCCTTCTCCCTGAGGAAGTGTGTGTTGCTACCATCACTGCAGTGAGAGGCTCCTACCTGTGGCTCCAGCTGGAGGGTGAGTGCCAGCGTTCCAGAAGCCTTCCTGTGACCACTCTCCTTTGAGCTTCCTGTTTAATCCTGTAATGTGGTCTCTTAAACTTAATGGATTAGTTAAATGGGGATCTTGTTCAGAGACTTTTGTAATGCAAGACTCTAAGCGAAACATTTATTTTTCTGTCCTTGGCTTTCAAATTTCAAATTTTAGGAAATGAATACAAATAAAAATTCTTTACTGTAGAGTCTCCTATTTTCTGGAAGGGGAAAACATAAGTCAAATAGCAGGTATTTTGATGTGACCAAGTTATATGAGCATGAACATCAACACCTAGCTTATTGAAGAGATAATATTTTGGTTGCTGTAGCCCAGTGGAACCAAAAAGTATATAGAGTACAAATGATAAACTGTACTAAAAGTAATACTCAATAATTGGACAGGTTTATGAATGCAAGGCACTGCATGAGTACTCAGTGCTGTGGTTACTGTATATGTCCTGAGCTGCTTTTTTAGCCTGCTACCAAATAGTCAGACTTTGAGACGGTACCTACTATTTCTGATTTGTAGAATTGGCATTTAATGCAGATATCAAGGGTAATATTGAATGTAGACTTTTATGCAATCCTTGTTCAGCAACTTGCCAAATCACTTCCTGATTTGAATTCACTGTTCTTTTCTGGCTTACTCCCGAAGTACCAGAACTGATGTTCTCATTGAGTAGAATTGTTGCCTTTGCCATTTGGTTTCTATTTGTCTGAAATGACTGTGATACTAACCGTCTGAATGATACCAGTGGTAGTTCCAGTTTCTTATTTGCTATTTCCTAGCTTAAGTGTCACCTTGTATATTCTCTACCCATTTTGGTCCTGATACAGTTTTACATGGGGGACAGTTTACTTTTTTTTCATAATGTTTATCATACATGACAATGTATGATTTCTGTGTCAAGAGACTTGTGTCTGCATTATTACAAGAGTAGAACATTATCTAGAAAATAGTTTATGAAGAAGGTTATTTAATGGTCTAAAAAAAGTTGTTTTTTTTTTTGTTTTTTTGTTTTTTTTAAAAAATCTAAACAGGTTCTAAGAAGTCTATACCTGAATATATTGTGAGTGTGGAATCCATGGATATATTTCCTTTGGGCTGGTGTGAAACCAACGGCCACCCCCTCAGCACTCCTCGCCGAGCACGAGGTATCTGTCTATTTCTGGGTTAGAGGATTGATTGTTAAATAATCTTCTGTGTGGCTGCTGCCAGTTAAAACTAATCTGGACATTTCAGAGAAAAAAAATGACATTCTGGTTATCTGTTCCTGCACAGGAAGTTATTTATTGTAACAAATATTTAATACCTTACAGTTTCTGTGGGTCAGGAATTTGGGTGCAACTTAGGTGGGTCCTCTGGATCTGAGTCTCTCACAGGCTGTGCTCAATTATCAGCCAGGGCTCCAGTCATCTCAAGGCTCACCGTGGGGAGGATCTGCTCCCAGCTTTATGCAGATGATTATTGGCAAGTGTCTTAGTGCATTCTAGCTGCTGTAACAAAATACCACACACTGGGAAGTTTATAAATGACAGAAATTTATTTCTCACAGTTCTGGAGACTGGGAAGCCCAAGATCCAGGCATTGGCAGATTCAGTGTCTGGTGAGGGCGCATTTCCTGGTACATAGTTGGCACCTTCTCATGTCCTCACATGGTGGAAGGACTACTAGCTCTGTGGGTCTCTTTTGTAAGAGCACTATTCTGCATCATGAGGGCTCTGCCCTTGTGACCTAATCACCTTCCAAAGGCCCTATCTTTTCATACCAGGACATTGGTGGATAAGTTTCAGTGTGAATTTTGGAGAGTACAAACACTCAGACCACAAGAAGAATGCGTCTTCTTGTGGGCTGTTGGACTGAGGGCCTGAGCTCCTTGCTGGGTGTTGGCTGGAGCCTTCCTTTAGTTCGTTGCCATGTGGGTCTCTCCGTAAGGCAGCTCACAGCGTGACAACTGGCTTCTATCAGAGTGAGGAAGCGAGAGAGCAACAGAGGTTGAGGAAGATGGAAGCCAGAGTCTTTCTGCAACCTAACCTCAAAAGTGGCAACCCACTTTCCCCCTTTTTAAACAGCTTTATGGTGTTATAATTGACATACCAACTATCACCATAGTCAGATTGAGAACATTTTCATCATTTCAGAAAGAAGCCCTGTACTCATTAGCAATCAATCCCCACCCCCAGCATCCACGAATCTACTTTCTGTCTCCATAGGTTTGCCTATTCTAGACATTTCACATAAATGGGATCATGGTCTTGTGTGACTGGCTTCTTTCACTTAGCGTACTGCTCTCAGAGTTCATTCATGTTGTAGTGTGTGTCTGTTCTTTATTCCTTTATATAGCTGAATAATATTCCATGCTATAAATATAACACATTTTGTTTATTTAACAGTTGATGGACATTTGAATTGTTTCCATTTTTTGACTATTAAGAATAAGTTTTATAGTTTTCTTCCGTGCTCTTCTCTAAGAGTTTTATAGTTTTAACCCTTATATTTATGTTTAGATCTTTGGTCCCCTTTGGGTTAAGTTTTATATATGATATGAGGCAGGGGTCCCCAATCCCTGGGCCATGGACCAGTAGTGGTCCATGGCCTGTTAGGAACCGGACCACATGGCAGGAGGTGAGTGGTAGGCGAGTGTGCATTAGTGCCTGAGCTCCACCTCCTGTCAGATCAGGGGCGGCATTAGATTCTCATAGGAGCGTGAATCTTACTGTGAACTGTCTCATGAGGGATCTAGGTTGCATGCTCCTTGTGAGAATCTAATGCCTGATAATCTGAGGTAGAACAGTTTCATCCTGAAACGACCCCCCATCCCCTGGTCCATGGAAAAATTGTCTTCCATGAAGCCAGTCCCTGGTGCCAAAAAGGTTGGGGACCACTGATCTAAGGTAAGGGTCCAACTTCATTCATGTGGATATTCAGCTTTCCCAACACTTACTGACCCAGGGAGCCTTGAAAATATTATTTTTGCTCTTTGTGTAAAGACCGCTACCAAGAAAATGTGCCTCAGTCTAGATATTCAGACATAAGCATTAATTTATAGTACTGTATGTGTGTATATACACACACACACACACTCTCACACAGAACCAAGTTTTAAATATGCTAATGTAACCTTAATACACATATAAATTTTCCTTTGTCTTTTTATTTTTCTTGGCATTTATATATTTTTTTCTTCCTACAGTACATAAACAGAGGAAAGTTGCAGTGGTTCAGCCAGAAAAACAGTAAGTAATGTAATAATGTGTCTGAACAGTTCACAAGTTAGAATATCTAGAAAAATAACTATTTCAGAGGGTATATTTCCTCATTTTCTCAGATGGAAGCATAATTTTTTAATTCAACATTTGATCATTTGTATACTTTGGAAGTATATGTATTTTCTAAAATGGCATTATATACAAAAGGGTACAATGCATTCCCAAGATGGTGTCTAAATTGAGTTTTCTTTGGCTTTTAGAACCTTAAGGTAATTGAATAAAAGAAAGAAAATAAGAGTCCCCATGCTGGTATTCATTAAGGAAGAGCAAAAATTGTAAATTAGGATATGATTTGTCACAGTGGACAAAAATAAAGCTTGGGGTAGAAGACAACTCTAAAAGAAAAGACACATTCAAAGGAGTGACTTTGTGCCCATCAAGAAATTCTTCATTTGTAACATACCTGCACACATAGCTTTTGAGAAACAGTTAATTAGTAATGCCTTCAGACCTTAAAAGTACAAAGGTTTCTGGGTGTATATATATGTTTTAAAACATTGGGTGTTGAATTCTCTATTAATCTTCTGGGGCTGCCATACAAAATACCAGAGGCTGGGCAGCTTTAAGGCAGCGGTCCCCGACGTTTTTGGGACCGGTTTTGTGAAAGACAGTTTTTCCACAGACTGAGGTGGGGAATGGTTTCTGGATGAAACTTTTCCACCTCAGATCATCAGGCATTAGATTCTCCTAAGGAGTGTGCAGCCTAGATCCCTCACACGCACAGTTCACAATGGGGTTCCCACTCCTGTGAGAATCTAATGCTGCTGCCGACGTGGCAGGAAGCTGAGCTCAGGCTGTAATGCTCCCTTGGCTGCTGTGCGGTCCCATTCCTGACAGGCCATGGATGGGTACTGGTCTGTGACCCTGGGGTTGGGGACCCCTGCTTTAAACCACAGAAACTTATTTTCTTACATTCTGAAGGTTGAGAAATCCAAGATCAAAGTGCTGGTGGATTTGGTTCCTGGTGAGGGCACTCTCCCTGGCTAGCAGATGGCTGTCTTCTGGCTGTGTTCTTGCATGGTGGAAAAATCTTTCTCTCCCCGGCACCCCCGGACCCCTCTCTTCTTATAAGGCTATCAGTGCTATTGGATTACGGCCTACCCTATGACCTCATTTAATCTTAATTACCTCCCCAAGGCCCTATCTTCAAATACAGTTACACTGAGCACTAGGGCTTCAACATATGAATTTGAGTAGGGGGAAACAATTCTGTATATAGCAAATTCTATAACTACCTAAACCTTTGTAACTTTGTGGGTAATAAAACTAACAACAGAAGTGGAGAGAAGGGCCATAGACATTTACCCCAAGTAGAGAAGTGAGATGATAATGAAAAAAAGACTGGCTTTGGATTTTTCCTTGACTTAGTTGCCAAAACTGATCCAAAGCTTTAGTTAGGATGCATTCTAAAAGACAAATTAGCCTTTTTTCAGTGATTGCTATACACAGAATAAGCCTCTGGGTTTTTAACAATAACATAATTTGTCTTTAATTTGAAAACCAATGGATGAAGAAAACAGACCCTATATAAAGTTTCTGTTCTTTGACTATTGAAAAATGAGTAGTTTATTTGTGGTTGAAGCATCTCACAAGAAATTTTGTAATTTTTTTTGCCCAATAAATGAAGAGAAAATTTGAATATGTAGTATCACAATGCTGTATACAGACATCCATTGGCTCATTATGCCCTATATATAGTTTTAAAAACAATTGTTCTTTTTTTGTTTTGTTTTGTTTTGTTTTGTTTTGTTGTTTTTTTTTTTGAGATGGAGTCTCCTCTCTCGCCCAGGCGGGAGTGCAGTGGCGCGATCTCGGCTCACTGCAAGCTCCGCCTCCCAGGTTCACGCTGTTCTCCTGCCTTAGCCTCCCAAGTAACTGGAACTACAGGTGCCCGCCACCACGCCCAGCTAATTTTTTGTATTTTTAGTAGAGATGGGTTTTCACCATGTTAGGATGGTCTCTATCTCCTGACCTTGAGATCTGCCCGCCTCGGCCTCCCAAAGTGCTGGGATTACAGGCGTGAGCCACAGCGCCCAGCTTTGTTCTTTAAAAAAAAAAAAAAAAAAAAAATCATCAAGGGAGTACCTTCTGTTACAGATTTTGCAACATGCCACGTTTGCTTTCTTCTTAGATTTGAAGGAAACTAAGCCTCACACTTTACTGATCTTAAGGATTATCTCACTATTTTACTGTGTTTTCTCGACCCAGAGTACCATCCTCGAGGACTGTCCATGAGGGCCTGAGGAATCAGGAGCTGAACTCCACAGAGTCAGGTATAAGCATGTGTCATCTTATGGAAAGGAAGACTTAGTTTCTTTTAATGGACTATATCTGAAAATAACTTAAAACAGTACATTTGATGTATAGGATATGACTTCATAGAGGGGTCTCTTAATTGTGACTAGAGTTATAACGGTCTAGGATGTGTTTAGTTTAATAATCATCTCTAGGCTGATAGTTCTGTCCATTTCTTTCTTTTTTTTTTTTTTTGTTGAGACGGAGTCTCGCTCTGTCGCCCAGGCTGGAGTGCAGTGGCCGGATCTCAGCTCACTGCAAGCTCCGCCTCCCGGGTTTACGCCATTCTCCTGCCTCAGCCTCTGGAGTAGCTGGGACTACAGGCGCCCGCCACCTCGCCCGGCTAGTTTTTTTGTATTTTTTTAGTAGAGACGGGGTTTCACTGTGTTAGCCAGGATGGTCTCGATCTCCTGACCTCGTGATCCGCCCGTCTCAGCCTCCCAAAGTGCTGGGATTACAGGCTTGAGCCACCGCACCCGGCCGTTCCGTCCATTTCTAATAGCCATAGCTATTCTTTACTGATCACCCCTTGTGTGCCAAGGGCTCAGATGGTTGATGTTACCATCTTTGACTTTAGCTAAAGAATCTGAAGTTTTCCAGGCAGTGTTGTTTCTTAAGCTAGATGGTTGAGAGGTAGAGGTTTATTCTTTTTAAAACCCTTTTTTATGATATGCATACTTTGTATATACATTTCACAATTTATGTGAAAAAAAAATAAAGCATTGGAAAAAGAAATTGTCCCAGAGGCAATGCCTGATAAATGAGACAAAGACCCTTGCTGGAGGTTCAAGCCTTTTGTCCAGGGTTCTCTCTTGAACTATTCTTAACGTCTACGTGCTTGTTGTATAATGTTTAGCATCCTGGCTGTGTATATTCTAGCACAGATTGGGCATTCAGATGATATTTAGTAAATGCCTAGAAGAGAAATCAAAGCTCAGAGAGATCACACGGCTTACGAGTAGAAAGGACAGAAGTGAAACTGAAGTCTTTCACAAATTTGAAACCCATACTTCCGTCTCTTCTACCCACTGCCTTTTCATTACATCATTTGTACATAGAGGGTTAGGACTGTGTAACTCCTTGCTTTTGATGCATTCCTGGCCATTCAAATGCCTACTGAAACCACAGAATTTAAGACATTAATATCTTCTGCACAACCTCAGCCAAGGCCTTTTGGTTTGGGTTTTGTCATAGGTCAGGTTCCCTGGGAAACAGAGTCTGAGACTCTGACATATGCATTCAGGAGTTTCATTGGGAAGTATTTTTGGGAACAGCTCCTTGGAAGGAGTAAAGGAAGTAGGATTGGGCAGAGAGATAAGTTGAACCATGATGCAGTTGCAACAGAAGTTTCTTCTATTTCCACTGGGAGCCCTGAAGCTGATCTAACCACTCAGAGCTGATCCTAATTCAGGTGTGGTGGCCACACTTTACTGACCAGTTATTGGAAGTACGCCACTGCTTCCTCCTCACGTCACAAGGGGCAAGGTGGCCCTCTCCTGCTGAGAGCAGTACCCAGCTCAGGGTGATTCCAGAATAGACTTAAAGCTGAAAGCTATAAGCTGCCAACATACCCAGCAGCAGGGGCATGAGTGCCTTAATCCTGAAGAGAGGCATTTGGGTTACAGGGTTCACCTGGAAATGTGAGCACCAGCATACTGGTCACTATGATATACCATCCTTTTTTTTTCTTTTTTTTTGAGACAGGTTCTCACTGTGTCACCCAGGCTGGAGTGCAGTGGTGTTGTATCAGCTCGCTGCAACCTCCACCTCCTGTGCTCAAGCTGTCTGTCCTCCTATGTCAGCCTCCTGAGTAGCTGGGACTATAGGCATATGCCACCACACGTGGCTGATTTGTTTGGTTTTTTTTTTTTTTTGGTAGAGATGGGGCTTCACTGTGTTACCCAGGCTGGTCTCGAACTCCTGGACTCAAGCGACATGCTCCCGTCTTGGCCTCCCAAATTCCTGGGATTACAGGCATGAGCCACCACACCTGGCCATGACCATTCTTAATTAAAGAGAAAACATTATGAACTGCAGGATCCTTTCAACAATGGGCAGTGTGCACATATCTTTCCTTAACATTGGATTAACAGGCATATCTATTAGAAGAGCTTCTCTGTGCTTTATAGCAGTGTTTTAGTATCTTTGAATTTTTTACATTAAACAGCTGACATGCCTACCACTATGAGGGGATTTTTTAAATTGAAGGACAGTATTGATACAGACAAGTAGTTGAAGAAAAGGGTCTCTAGACCCAGTTATACCCCACAGTACAAAAAAAACTTAGAGATGTGGTCACAGCATACTTTTAGCCCTCTGAGAAATCTCAGAGGTGGGAGAGCTCTCACAACATCAAAGGCTGCCAACATTAGTTTGGTGGTTTTTTAGGAGACAAGCTGTAATTCTAAATAATATTCGACAATTTCTATAAATATTCCAGAATAGATTATTGAAAGTTGGTTTTTGAAGACCTGGAAAAGAAATCATTGATCGTCCAGAATCCTCATGTGTTCTTGGAATACACTCTCCACTTTATTGATAGAAGATAGGGTTCTTCTATCAATTTTGCAGTAACCTAGGAACTAATCAGCATGTTAATTCAGGACCCTGTTTGATTTCAGCAGAGTGATAAGCTCTGTAAGTTACTTAAGAGCATTCTCAGACAACATGTTAAGCTTCAAAGTAAGTAATTCCAAAGTTTATATTAATATAATAGTACATGTGCTTGGTTTTTCCTTCCTGGCAATTCAAGCTTTGGAAACATGGGGTAGAGAATGACTCTTTTGAATATTTGTTTCTCTTCATTTCCCAGTTACGATTAATGGAAAATACTGCTGTCCAAAGATATACTTCAACCACCGTTGCTTCTCAGGGCCATATCTTAACAAAGGAAGAATTGCTGAGCTGCCTCAATGTGTAGGACCTGGGAACTGTGTTCTGGTCCTTAGAGAGGTAAGGTTCTGGCCTAGAGCAAAATAACTTGGAAATTTCACAGCATTCTCCTATGGTCATTTCTACAGGGAGCCACATGCCATAGATGTGACAGTTCTAGGTCTTATCAAAAGTTACTAACTTTTCTCATGTTTTGGATAGTGAAGAGAGTATGTAATTGTTTCTCCTTCCTAGGAAACATTCACGTAAACAATTCTTCACAAAGCAGGTTCACCTCTGTCAGGGTAGAAAGGTCTTCTGTCAGAGACCAGAAGAGAACTATACAAAAGTGAACTGTGAGATTACTCTATGACTGAGAGGCCGTGGCTATGTGGCATTAACCTAGTGGCTATGATAAAGCTACACATCTGCTGGGCTTTTTGTTCTTCCCAACCAGTGTGATATGCTGCAAGTAACAGATAAGAGACCTTTCAGCCCTCAGGGTGGCAAGTCATGATCTGGGGAAGCCAGAGCTTCTGGACCAGACTCCTCTAGCCACAAGAAGCCTCAGCTGTCTACATAGTGGTCCAAACAAATATAATTTTCTGTGTGTACCGTGGCTGGGAAAGCATTTGGAAGCATGTTCTGGAGCAATTTGAAAATCATGGTACCTGTTTTTTCCTAACCATAACATTTAAAAAATGTTGAAGAGGTTTTGGTACTCTCTTATTTGCATCTTTGGGTGGCTGTAATATCTCTGATACTATTATTATCTTAACATTTATTAATTCATATGACTAGAATTAACCTCCTAAATGACCTTAACATTTTAAGGGAGCGATGACAAGATTCTAATGGTCTACTTTTCTCCTTCCCAATCTGTGTTTCTGCTTTAAAACTGAGCTCAGGTCCTCACTTTACTTATCAATGCAGCCTACAAACCCAGCCGTGTCCTTCGGGAGCTCCAGCTGGACAAAGACTCTGTGTGGCACGGATGTGGGGAAGTCCTAAAAGCCAAGTGAGTAGACTGCTTGTTTTTACTATTTACTGTTACTTGTCTTTAAAAAGTCACAGAATCGGCAGAGCACGGTGGCTCACGCCTGTAATCCTAGCACTTTGCGAGGCCGAGGCAGGCGGATCACAAGGTCAGGAGTTCAAGACCAGCCTGGTCAACATGGTGAAACCCCGTCTCTACTAAAAATACAAAAAGTAGCCAGGCACAGTGCACACACCTGTAATCCCAGCTACTTGGGAGGCTGAGGCAGGAGGATTGCTTGAACCCAGGAGGTGGAGGTTGCAGTGAGCCGAGATCGTGCCACTACACTCTAGCCTGGGTGACAGAGTGAGATTCTGTCTCAAAAAAAAGAAAATTTCACAGAATTAGTTCTGTGGATAATATCAGAGGCCTTATGTTTCCTCTGGCAAGGCTTTTTCAGCTATTTGTGGTGAAGGACCAGGCTTGTTTGTCTTTTTTAGATTTCCATTCTTTCATGGATGAAAGAAAGACTCTACTCAAAGTACAAAAATTAGCCAGGTCTGGTGGTAGGTGCCTGTAATCCCAGCTACTTTGGAGGCTGAGGCAGGAGAATCGCTTGAACCTGAGAGGTGGAGGTTGCAGTGAGCCGAGATCATGCCACCGCACTTCATCCAGCCTGGGCAACAGAGCAAGACTCTATCTCAAAAACAAAAAGGAAATAAGAAATTTAATACACAAAAATGCAAGAACAATTTTTGTTATTAGATGTAAGAGACATAAAATTACTTTTCCAAATTAGTGTGAAAGTTTATAAATATGTACTCTTGCTTTCTGATCTTGTCATGGACAGATGGCAATTGGCAAGTGATACTAGTCCTTGGACAACAGTCTGAGGATCACTGCCAAGGGTAAAGAAAGACTTAGTGAAAAGTCACTTTTCTTTTTAGAGCAGTTAGTGAAATTACTATTTGAAAACTTTAACTTAGGAACAGAAAACAGGAGCTTAATTTTGCTAATTTAAATAACTCAGCTTTTAGTTGTCATAGCTTACCAGATTTAATTTGATTTAAGTTCAATATGCAGAACTTCCTTGTTGTTTTCAGGGCTCTCGAACTATAAAGGACATAGAATATTCCAAAAAGCAAAAATATTTTTTAGGTGTATTAATATGTTTAATTTTTCTCTGGGTAATCATTAGCCCAATACATTTGGCATCTGATGTCTTCCAATGGCAGATATAAAGGAAAGAGTTATCGAGCTACTGTTGAGATAGTGAAAACAGCAGATCGGGTGACTGAATTCTGCCGGCAAACCTGTATCAAACTGGAATGCTGTCCTAACCTCTTCGGTCCACGGATGGTTCTGGATAAGTGTTCTGAGAACTGTTCTGTACTTACAAAGACCAAATACAGTGAGTCATGTTTTTCCAATGTGTTAACCGTAGCAGCTGACCATACTTACATCTTGGAAGGTTTTTTACTTTACAGACATTCATATATAGCAGAGGCACACGAACTTCTTCCGTAAAGGGCCAGATGATAACTATTTCATGCTGTGGGTCATATGGCTTTCTGTCACATATTCTTTTTTGATGTGTTGTGTTTTCATTTTTTAAGAACCCTTTTGGCCAGGCACGGTGGCTCATGCCTGTAATCCTAGCACTTTGGGAGGCCAAGGTGGGCAGATCACTTGAGGTCAGGAGTTTGAGACCACTCCACTCTGCCTGGGTGACAAAACAAGACTCTATCTCAAAAAAAAAAAAGAACGCTTTTAAAAATGTAAGGGTAATTTTTTTCTTGGTCATGGGCCAGATTTGGCCCATGGGCTTTAGTGTGCCAACTTTTATATATAGCATGTATATAAATTAGTTATTGTATCTAATAGGATATGTAATTCATTCATACAATCTGCAAGTATATATTTTGTACTCATTGTGTGCTTATGCTATTCTAGCATTGGGGTACAACAATAAAGAAACAAATTCCTATCCTCAGTGAGCTTACCTTTAACGTGGGAGACAGATAACGAACAAGGGAAGAAATTTAGAGAGAGAAATACTGTGGGGAACAGTGAAGCAAGGTGGGCAAGCAAAGTAGGAGAGTGAGGAAGGCTGGGAGGTGGGGTGCTGTTTATGCAAGGAGTCAGGGAAGTCTTTCTGACAGGTAACACCTTGAAGGAAACGGGAGCCGGCTGTGCAGAGAGCTAGGTGGGAGTGTCCTGGGGAGGGGGCATCAAGGGCACAGGCTTGAGGCAGGAGCTTGCTTAGTGTCTCCGAAGAGCAGCAATGAAGCCACAGTACTTAGGGAGGTGGAAATAGAAGAGGAGGTAGTTGCAACCTCACCTTGAACTTTCATAGCACCTGTTCCCTGTCCTTGGTTATCTTCTCCTTTGAGAAACTGGGGCAGGGGTCACATAGGATGAAATTTACAATATGGAGTCTTGTCAAGGCATTGCCACCCAAAGACAAAATTCTGATCCTACCTTTCCTTAAATCCTGCAAGCCCTGTGTCACTTGGGAGAATCAATACAGAGGAGGATTTTAACCTTGTTAAAATTGAAAGATTTCTTTTAGGGATCTGTGCCTCTTAAACTATAGTGCATGCAGATCACTGAAGGATCTTGTTAAAATGGAGCTTCTGATGTATCAGGTCTGTGAGTATCTGGGTCCTGAGTATCTTATCTGCATTTCCGACAAGCTCCCAGATGCCACTGATGCTGCTGATCCACGGTCCATACTTAGTATGATGAGCTTTCTAATCAGTATTTAAATTACAAAATCATATAAGTCTAACCTTCTAGTTTCTATTTATATTTATTGGATTGTAAACTCCGTAAGGGTAGGAATTATCTTGTATCAGACTCAGCACTTAGTTTAAGAAACTGCAATTATTAGGAGCTGAGTAAAAAATACTATTCATATAAGTACATGTATAAGTACACTACTCTGAAGGAAGATATGTGAGGGGAAGATATGTGGATTTTATTGTGCCTTTTGTCTGAATTTATCTTTCACAATAATATAGTTGAAATTAGCCTAGAATTTAGAAGGACAGTCACAATTTTTCCCAATTAGTAATTTGAATGATGTCAAATGGATTCATACCCTTTAGAAAATTTAAATTTTTTTCATAAAATTATATTTTGATATTACTTTAATACATAACTCAGCTAGAATATATATGTTTCATTTCTGCAATGTATATTCTAAAATTTATATGAAAATGCAGAGGATCTAGAATAGCTGAAACAATTTGGAAAAAAAGAATAAAGTTGGAAGACTTAGTCTCTCTCTTTTTTTAACCATAAAGTTATAATTATCAAAAGAGGCATTAAAGGATAGTCAAGCCAGGTGCGGTGGCTCACATCTGTAATCCCAGCACTTTGGGTGGCCGAGGCAGGCAGATCACCTGAGGTTAGGAGTTCAAGACCAGCCTGACCAACACGGTGAAACCCTGTCTCTAGTGAAAATACAAAAATTAGTCAGGCATGTGTTGGTGCACACCTGTAGTACCAGCTACTCAAGAGACTGAGGCAGGAGAATGGCATGAACCCAGGTGGTGGAGGTTGCAGTGAGCCATGATCATGCCACTGCACTCCAGCCTGGGTGACAGACTCTGTCTCAAAAAAAAAAAAAGAATAGTCAAATAGAACAATGGGACAGACCACAGGGTCCAAAATAGAGCCAAACTTAACATAAATGATTTTCAACAAGAGAGATGAAGAAATTTAAGGGAGAAAGGAAATTCTTTTTTAAAAATAGCACTGGTACAACCAGATATCCAAATAGAAAAGAAACATATAATAAAACACACGACTCAAAAACATTATACCTAGTAAAAGAAGTCACACATGGCCGGGCACGTTGGCTCACTCCTGTGATCCCAGCACTTTGGGAGGCCGAGGCAGGTAGATCATGAGGTCAAGAGATCGAAACCGTCCTGGCCAACATGGTGAAACCCCGTCTCTACTGAAAATACAAAAATTAGCTAGGTGTGGTGGTGTGTGCCTGTAATCCCAGCTACTAGGGAGGCTGAGGCAGATGAATTGCTTGAACTCGGGAGGCAGAGGTTGCAGTGAGTCAAGATGATGTCACTGCACTCCAGCCTGGTGACAGAGCAAGACTCCACCTCAAAAAAAAAAAAAAAGTCACACACAAAAAAGTGCTTACTGTGTGGTTCCGTAGAGGCAAAGCTAATCTATAGTGATAGTGTTTAGAACAGTGGTTGCTTCTAGTAAGGGGTACTGACTGGGAAGGGACCATGGGAACTTTCTGGGTTGAAGGTGTTCTGTATACTTTGATATGGAGGGACCATTCTGTACTAGTCAAACTGTGTACTTCAGATCTGTTTATTCCACTCTATGGTATTTAAACCTCAATCAAATACAATGTACCTGTTTTTTGCTATGCTAATAAAATCTCTTGTGGTTTTGAGGTGCACAAAAATAATGAAGCTACTTCATTTTGTCATCCACATTTAGCACATTATTATGGAAAGAAGAAAAATAAAAGAATTGGGAGGCCACCTGGTGGGCATAGTAACTTAGCTTGTGCCCTGAAAAAAGCCAGTAAGAGGAGAAAGAGGCGGAAAAATGTTTTTGTTCATAAGAAGAAACGCTCCTCTGCATCTGTTGATAATACCCCAGCGGGCTCTCCCCAGGTATGAGATCTGTGATGTGCCTGTAATGTCTCAAAGCCAAGTGACCACTGCTTTATAGTATGGACACAGAATACCTGCAGGTCTTTCTAACTCAGATCTCTGGCCAATAGAAGATGGTTTTGTGGCCCAGGAACTGGTTTGTCCTGAATTTCTTTTCTTTCTCTATTATTATTTTTTAAAATCGTATGAAACCTGGGATTGATGTCCTGAATTTCAATGAGACTTCTCTCTTTTTCCTGCAGGGAAGTGGGGGTGAAGATGAGGATGACCCAGATGAAGGGGATGATGATTCCCTAAGTGAAGGCAGTACATCCGAGCAGCAGGATGAGCTACAGGAAGAATCAGAAATGTCAGAAAAAAAGTCATGCTCCTCTTCGCCCACCCAAAGTGAGATATCCACATCGCTGCCTCCAGATAGACAAAGGAGAAAAAGGGAGCTTCGCACCTTTTCATTTTCTGATGATGAAAATAAACCTCCTTCACCAAAGGTACCATTTAAAAAAGTTTCTTTTTTATTTCTTTCTCTCTAGAATTTTCCTCTGGAATATGATTATTAGTGATATTGGCATTCTACTTCTTTCAATACAGACTTATGTAGAATTTCCAGGGTCTCTTGTAAAGTGACCCCAAATGCAGTGATTTACATGTGTTTCAAGGATTAGTTGAGATCACCTACTTATGGGGGAAAGTCTCTCTCAGAGTAACTGCTTGTTTTAACAACAACAACAACAAAAAGCTCCATTGCTAGCTTATTTGTAGCTTGTCATTTAGTTTTGGGAAAACTGCCTTTTTAATATGTTTCATAATATATATGGTTTTGTGGGAAAAGTTATTTATCCTTTTGATTCTGGGTTAAGCCATTTGGTTTAGTATATTTACTATATACGTATGAACATTTTATAACATATATGTAACAGTAAAGAACAGCAATTAAGTTAGTGTTCAAAAACTAAATTGCTTTTTAAGGATATTCCATGAACAGAAGCAGTAAATGATTCCTCCTGGTAGTTTATTTAGTTAAGCCTTCTCTCATTGGACTTAGCATCCCCTTCTCTTTAGCACCCTATCTTTCTTAAATTGTCTAAATTATCTGTGCTGAAACTTTGAGATAAATTCTTTCCCATTGATACTTGGTATTATAAAAGACAGACATTTCCTGAGTACCTGATGCACGAGGGTCTTTGACATCTTTGCTGGGAGAAATCATGTCCTAAGACCGCTTTAAACCATGTCTTGAAAGATTATGAATTTAGGTAGAGATAATTTTTTAGAATAAAATAGCCTTAACACCGTTTGGTTTGATTGTGTTGTGGGGAATGAAGGAAATAAGAATTGAAGTTGCTGAAAGGCTTCACCTGGACAGTAATCCCTTGAAGTGGAGCGTGGCAGACGTTGTGCGGTTCATCAGATCCACTGACTGTGCTCCATTAGCAAGAATATTCCTAGACCAGGTAATCACAGATTCCTGTAATTTTTCGTAATGCCTCTTTAGCAATAAATTATAGATGTAATAGTCAACAATTTACAAGTTTTAGGAAAAACATTTTGATCCAAAAGAAAAGAATTGTCTTAATTCCATTTTTAGGAGTCAAAGATGATAAAAAAAAAAAAAGTTATTTATCAGACTTGCTTCATAGTTTAAGCAGATTATCATTGCATTCCAATTTTTCCTAAGAATTTGATTCTATCCCTCCAATATCAAGCATACCATGCTTAATTGTCCACATCTTTTCAAAAATAATGATTTACTTGTTTTAAAAAATAGCATCTGTCATGTTAGGCTCTAGAGTGGTGATGAGTTTTAAGGCAAGCTTGCTGAAACACAGCCAGTGGCCTTAAACATTGAAATACGTTTTGTTAAGATAGTTAGGGAGGTTCAAGAGCTTATCGGGTTTTTTGAATGTTACAGAGTAAGAAAACATTGAAGTTGATAGTTAATCCTTTGTTTCAGATTTAGAAGAAACCCTTTAAAAAGATGGCACAATTAGTTGCCAGTTACAGGGCTAGTAAGTTTACTAAATTTCTATGGGGCAGAGACTCTGTGGAATGGATTATTATCCTTGGTAAAATTTTATTGTCCTCAGTAAAACTTTATTAATTCTGAAGCTTCATTAGTATGGAAGACTGTGGAGTCACTTAAAAGGAAGTGTGTGATACCTAAGACGAAAAATTAAGGAAAGGAAAGCATAGGGACTCCAGTTTTGACAAAGCTAAAGTGAGGAGAGGCTGTCATGATCAAGCTGCCTTTCATGTGCACATCACAGATAATTTGTCTTTTATGCTTTACCAGGAAATTGATGGGCAGGCCCTATTGCTCCTTACCCTTCCCACTGTTCAAGAATGCATGGACTTAAAATTGGGCCCTGCCATCAAACTTTGCCATCACATAGAGAGGATCAAGTTTGCTTTTTATGAGCAGTTTGCCAACTGAGAAGGACAACCAAAGTGAGCTGGATCTTTGAAGCACAAATGCAGCAAATCCTTCACCCTGCTTTATAAGTGGAGCTGGAATAGTCCTGGGGCTCTGGGGCCTGCAGGTGTCAGCTTGCTCTCTTTGCACTTTCGGGGAAGGACACAGTGAGGAAGCAAAAACTGTGCACAGAAGTGGATCGCCTGCCGGTGGAAATGTGGACATCTCTTGTTCAGCAGATGGCAGTTTTAAAAAAATAAAGGTTGTGAGGAAAAGACTTATATAAGAAGAAAAGCATTTCCAGTGGTGTGGCCTGAAAACAAAGAATAACCTAGGCTGCTGGAAAGCACCCTTTTGGTTGTTTTCATTCTGTTCCCTCCCATTGTAGATTGAACTTTGTTCTCTGCTTTCTTTTTCTTGGAAAGAGAGGACCTAGCTTTAAGTCAGCACTGATTTGGGACTGTTCCTAAAGGCATATCAGTGCTTCATTGTCATTGTGTTTTTAAGCTTTTTAAAATTAAAACAGTTCATTTTGGGGATGATTATGTGGCTCTAGGGTTTTGAATGTATAGTCACACTTTGATCCATTTTAAAATCGATTCTTAGGAGTTTCTTTGTTTACTACCTCTGTTGATAATTGAGCTTACAGCCATGTATGAGGTTTTTTGTATGATGCCATTTTTAAGCTACATGAACACTAAAATTATGACAGAATTTGGAGGGGGGGAAACTGTTTGCTTTCTTAAAAACATTATGTGGGCACTTACACCAGTTCCTTAACTGACCTGATCTAAGAACTCTACTGTTACTATTCTCCATCTTGACCCAGCCTGGGCTGCCTGTGTTAAGTAACATTACCAAGACTGTTAGTATTTCCGTTTAATTGCCCTCTTCCTGTTCATTCTTAGGGGGACTTCAGTGACTTTTATTTTGTGTTTACTTTTCTCTAGAGTTGTTTGTCTACCTCTGTTTCATTTCTGTGGTCTTTACTTTGGGTGAAAATCAGTAGGCGTTCCATGGACCCACAGCAAAGGCCATTTGTCCTTCTTTCCAGGTGTCTCCACTGTAGAAGCACAGCACAGAAAACATGTTTTGGAGGGTAACGCAGAGCATGGAGTTTCTGTAGCAGTGTCCTCAGTGGCTGGATAAATATTGAGACGTGGTTAAGGATTCTGGAAACCTCTTTGTCTAGCCACACTTAGACTTTTTTCAGCTAATCCTTTAATTTGAATATAATCTTTAGTCCGAGGATTCCCATTTAAACAACTCAGTATTCTTTTAAGTGTGTCTTTTAGCCCAGCTCAAGTTAACATGAAACTCCAGGTGAATTTTCGCTTATGATTCCATTGCTAGCTATTATATAATAATAGCGTTTGCTGCACTATTCTGGTCATGAAGAGTGAGGAAAAACACATACCTAGGTTGTCTCCCTTAAATGGTTTGCTTTGCTGAATGCTTTTTTATCCTAATCACCTGCAAATTTATAACCCAATCATTCTTTCTCAAGATTTGAAAATGTTTTAATCCTGCAAACTGGGTGAATTCTAAACAGCTCTACAAATATAAGGAAATATTACAGCAAATTTTAACTGATTGTGATTTTTTTCCCCATTCCCCAACACCCCAACCTATTTTTGTGGACATTGGTGAATAATCTGGAGCCTCTCTTCATTGGATAATATATAAACCAGCTTAACTCAAGCCTTGCAACTAAATCATACATGAAGACATTAACTCTTTGCTTAGGTTCCTAGCAGATATACCTGAGAAGAAGCTTCATTTAAGTAAAAATTAATATGTTTGAAACTTTAGAGATCCAGTTTTTTACAATTCTGTGTCTGTGGAAGAGAAGGATATACAGGGAATGCTAGGGAATAATTAGCATTAAACATTAAGCTTTTGGTGGGTAGTGGTGGTGGTACTGATCTTGCTTAATGAAATTTCCTGAGAGTTCAGTCAAGGCACTAAGGCAAAGAGGGCCCCTTGAGGAAGAACAATGGAACAGAATTTCTGGAATTAATGTTTAGTGCCTCATGTTGTTATCTTATTTAGGAAAGTGAAACATATTTCCTGTAAGAGGGAATTCACCAAGCACAAGAATAATGAATGCTTTATTTTGTCTCTCTTTTGACTTCTCCAGAAAACACAGAATTAATAATCACCTCCCTTCACAGGTGAGGGGATGAAGGTCCGGAAGGGCGAAACATACAGCCCCAAGTAATCTCTGATCTGGGTAGAGTCAGAGCCCAACAGGCTTGTTTATACTATGATTATTCAGGCTCAGCCTTCTCCTAGAGAAAGGCTGACTCTAAATGGTCAAGTAAGTTGGGTTTCCCTTAATGTTTCTTGCATTCTCCTACTAAGATATAGTTTATTAGGCAATTGAATAAAGAATTATATCCCCCAGCCCTGACTCCCATATATTATGTAAGTGAGGATAGTTGTTTGGGAATTTAGCACAGGGCACTTTTTTTAACTTAAAATTTGAACTTAATTTACCTCACAAAGCTGCTGGGACTGGACTGGATAACAATGATGTTCTGGTTACTGTGATGCTGAAACAGATTTCAAGACAGATAATAGCTCACCATGTTGGGGTAAAATGTTGGTATGTTGCACATAGGTGCAAGAACTTTGTGTTTTAGAGAGACCAACTTCTTAAATGTGTAACAGTTACATTGTGAGGGGACTGCATTTGTCTGGATTTCACCTGCAGCTGGGCCTATAGCCTGCCTGAGGTCAGAAAATTTTTCATGACCCATTTTTTACCCTGAATTGACAAGTTTAGAAAACAGGTTAATGGACTGTTTCATCCTCCTGGACCTTGAAAAGCTGGCTGACCAATATTAGACTATTACTGCTACATTAGTGTGCTAGGGAAACCTTTTTGCTGCACATGCAGATTTTTCTGTGACATTTTGACTAGATTTTGTGGGCTTCTGGGTACTATGCTGTTTTCCTTTGTAAACCATCTTCATCCTTCTCATTTGAAGCAGAGTTGAAGTGGCTAACGCAGGGAATGCATTTACGGAAGCTTGCACCCTATCTGCCTTTGTTCAGCAATGCAGGTGGCTCCTAGCATTTATCTATGTTATAAATATGTGAGGTCAGGGAAGGGTACTTACTAACCTCTGGAAAAGATGAGCTTCTTGGTAAATATTTATTGACTTATGGTAGAAGCAAACATAGAAAACTAGTTCAGAACTTAGCCTTAATATGCCTTTTCTCCTGGAAGTAAAATTATTCTCACTGTGAGACAGAAGACATTGGACCTTAGCTTCCAGACGACCCGGATACATTTTACTCGCTCTCTAGTACCAATTCAGTCACTAATGTGGTACCTGAATACAATTTAAAAGCTTTAGGAGGCCTTAGGTAGGGTGGGACTCAGAATCATTTCCCTCTCTCAAGCCAAAAAGTGTTTCTGAGGAACACACAGAACATCAGGTGATCTAGATGGGAACATTTGGGAAAACTATCACAGGCAATTATATTTACTTGGCACCTATATCACCAAAGATTGTTCTGTTTGAGACACTATTTACTGGTTTAATTGATCAACAGTGGAACATACCCTGGATTTGAACTCTGATCCTGTGTATTGAGGATGTGCCTTGTGTGCACACACCAGTTCAAAAGTGTTCTGTGTTATTAGTAGGAACCCTGTTGGCCTTATGAAGCTAAATGAGAAGAAGGCATCACTACAAAAAATGAAGTATAAATCTTGGTGGGGACCAGAAGCCGCCTTTTCAAGCTTGGATTTCCTTGCTCCTGGGTCCATTGTAAGCAACCATATGTTTGTCATGGTGCTGACTCAGAAATCGTAGGACAAAGAGCCTCCTGCAAAACCAAAAAGAAATGTTACTGTCCTGCAATTATAATTCTTCCTTGACTTTGTTCACTTTAGATGTTTTACTAGTGAGTTTTGATGACTCCCACCCCTTATGTGAGAATGTGTATACTTTGGAAACTTGAATTTATCCAAACAAGCTACCTATCTATGACTTAGAGTCGGCATAAGTTTTAAATTCAATGCTCAGTCCAAATGGATCTGGTTCCAGGCCCACTCCAAGGGTGGTTCCAGGTGTGTTTATTCAGTACTTGTACCAGACCACACAGGTAGCCTTGTTTCTGAGGGCAGCTTTATGGGGAGGTGTAGAAGGTGGTGGGCAGCAAATGCACTGCAGAGTCATTTACTTGGGTATGGTGTTTAAGGAGCCTGAGATTTTCACAAGAACCAGCAAAACCAGGAGTGGAGAATTGGGGAGAGAGAGAAGTATGCCTAAAACTCCCTCTTCTTGTGTCTTTTTTGACTTAATACACCATTGGGTCTGTCCTGGTGCTATGGCCTATCACAAAGGATTGTTTTAAGAGAGAAGCAAGCCACAGCCTTGCCAGATAAATCTCCAACACCAGCAGAAAAGCACGGACCCTGATCTATGGGAGGCAAGGGTCTCCCATTACTTCTGGAGGCAAATGGTGCCTTCTAGTGAAATGGTGCCACCATTTGCTGATGCGGGTGCCTGTTCTCAGGATGTGTGGAAACTCGGGCCTGAGGGTTTCTACATGGTTTATTCAATCTAACTGCATACCTAGCTTGGCAGAATGGAGGTGGACAAAAGTGCTGAAAGGATGAGGGTAGGCTTTTAGGGCAAATCAAGTCACAAAGCAGATGATTGAGGGAGGTTACAAAGCTTAGGCAGAGTTAAAGTTGGGCAGTCCGTTAGCTCCTTTTGCAAGTATCTCTGGAGAAGGTAGTTTGTTTCTCTTGAGATTTTAAGTGCTCATTTCTTTTCCCCTCCTTTTTTTTTTTTTTTCATTGAATATTCTCTAAAGACAATCAGAGGCTTGCCAGGGAGGGACTCCTGGCTGGTTCCAGCACTGTCCTTAGGCCTCTTTTTAATACTAACTTGTTGGAACTGATGCACTTTGTTTAATGTATTTTGCCTTTTTTTTTAAGCTGCTCATTTAGAACAAAATCAAATGCTTATTGCATTGTATCCTTCCTGCTTGCTGTTTTTCCTCTTAATTTCAAGTTATGCATTGAAGATAAAAGTACACTTAAGAAGTATGCACAAGAATACCTATTAAAATAACTCCCATCAAGTTTGATGGTATAACTTCAAAGGATTAAAAAAACTATTTTGGATTAATATTTTGCGTGGTTTTTTTTTGTAAATACGATTGTATATAAGCTTGTGGTACATTATGACAGTTTTAAGTGGTTGTGAGAACACTAAAGAAAACAGGTCTTAAGCTATGTTTAACCTTAACTTTGTGCTGATTTGACAGCAAGGAAGGCATTTTGGCCAGAGTAAATTTTTTCAAACTCTTTCCAGTGGGACCTCAGAGAATCATTTCCAAATGGATGAAAAGTTCCTTCCTACTTTAATAAAACTCCAGAATTCTTTCCCCTCTCTTGCTGTCTCATCCTTTACTTTCTAGATTTAGGTGCTTTTTAATTCCAGTTCAGGAAAGATAGGAAGTGTAGAATTTCCCCATAGCAACCTTGCTCCTGGCATTGGGGATTCTGCCTCTGATCTCTGAAGACTGCTTCTTGTTTGTTCCTCTGTGAGCCTTAAGGATTCCTCCACAGCTGGATGTGCAGAACAATTCTTTGTTAAAATCATCACTTTTCAGCTCAGTGTCCAATTTTCCTTGAGCTGTCTGTGTCTTTAAGCAATCAATAGTCTCCTTATGCCCAGCCACAATCTCTTCTGCTTTAAGACGTAGCCTCTTGTTTGATTCTCTCTAAACATTGTACTGTTAACTGTTGAGCACCTTCATAAGATCCCTCTTAGATTAAAAGATAGTTCATGCAATTTTAATTTTCCCTTATCCATTTATTTTCTTAATCTGATTTCCTGTATTTGCCCACGGCCAGTACTTGTGGAGAGTTTAAAATTTTATAAATTAAAATTTCATTTAAATTAAGCATGTTGTTGCATGTTGTCTGTACCAGGCACTACGTTGAATTTGAATTGAAGGGTATATAAAAACAATTCCTGCCCTCAGGAGGCTCACTCTTAGCTGTGGGAGAGAGAGGTGTACAGCTGTCAAATTTAGCAGTCTGAAAAGTTTTGATGGAACAGTACACACAAGGTAATGTGGGAGCAAGAGGGAGAGGGAGGTCAGATAGGCCTTGATGCACATGAGGAGCAGTTCATGGACAGGGAAAAGGGAATGGTATCCATGCAACTAGAATGCTACATAAAGGCACAGAGTTGAGAAAATATAAGAGAAGGCTGGAGAACTGCATTTTTATTCTCTAATCAGGTTAATATTCCTGTTTACCAAGAAAGCTTTTAGATAGCATTTAACCGTCTTAGGTAATTGGAATTTGGGGGTCTATTTAATAGGAAAACTTTTTCCTAGAGATATTTACTGCTGAAAACATGTAGCTCAGTGTCAACTGGACTCACACCATGTGTTCACTAACATTCTGCAGCAGGAAGGTCAGGGGCTCTAGAGCACCAACAAGAGGATGTCCAGAGAGAGCCCAGATTGGGCTGGGGGAATGGATGAAAGAATGGGGACTCAGGGTCTTGTTAAAGGCAGAGCACAGGTTCTGAGAAGTTGGAAAGGGTTAGGTGGGAGTGTGTGTGTGCAGGGGGATGTTGCAGCCTGGCAAATACCAACCATTTGTCTTTTACGCTCTAAAGGTAGTTGTGCTCCCCAAGTGAATAAGGTGGGACATATGCACGTCAGGTTTTTAATGTGAAATCTGGTATATTTCAAAATGAAAGTGATTGGATTCAGGTGACCATTTAAATTATGTCTATGAAAAAAATAAAATAGACTTGGGGCCTTGATACGCCTTTAGCTAGGGAAGTAGGAAAAAGACTCAAATGTCTAGGTTGGAAGGAAGACTCCTGTGCGCAATCTTAGATTGTTTTCCTTATTCACTTGCTTCAGAATAATCCAGGCTGCAAACTATTGGGCCCCATCCCAGAACTACTGAATCAGGATCTCTGAGGGTGGAATCCAGGAATATTAATAAATTCTCCGGGATATAGGGATTTGCCTTAGAGGGAAAAATAATTTGGTCACAGGCCGTCCCAGCTCCTACCTCCGGACCTGGAGCTCGTGATTCCCCAGCTCTCGTTCCGGTCTGCCCTACCCTGCTCACCTGGTCTGTCTACCTGCGGGCGTGGCGGGGTTGGAGAGGAGAGTGGGACCCGCGACCCCGCCCCCTGGCCCGGCCGGAGCCCCGCCCCTCGGAGGGGGGAGAGCAGCCGCGGCCGAGGCCCGCCCCAACCTTGGCTGCGCCAATCAGGCACTGCGATCTCAGACGTCGGGTTACGCGCGGCGCGGAGTCGGCCGCCGGGCGGAGGTACCGGCTCGGGCTTGGGCTCGGGCTCCCGGCTGCGGGTTTGGCGGCGCTGCACCGGCAGGCAGCGAGGCCGGGCGGGCCCTGGGCCCTCGCACCCTCCTGCGAGGCCTGCCATGCAGAGCCCCGCCGGGAACGCGAGCCGCGGACTGCCGGGCGGGCCGCCCTCCACAGTCGCGTCCGGGGCGGGCCGCTGCGAGAGCGGCGCGCTCATGCACAGCTTCGGCATCTTCCTGCAGGGGCTGCTCGGCGTCGTGGCCTTCAGCACGTTAATGCGTGAGTCTGGGACCCCCGCCCCTCTGGAGGCCCTGCGCGGCAGCCGCGGCCCGGCCCCCCGGAGGTCCGTCCTGCGCGGAGAGTTCCGGCCTGGGAATCCGAATTCCTCCTTCCCCGCAAACCCAGGCTGGGCATTCCCGCACTAGGGGGTAGCCAGGGCCCCGGGCTCCCGTCTCGGAGCCCCTCGCCTACTCGGTGTGGCCTCCAGCCAGGAGTGACCCTTCCCGTTTCCACCTTAAACGTCTGTCTTCTGAGACGCCAGTCTAAAACTCGCCTACCTCCCACCTTACCATCTCGAATTGTTACCCCACTTCTCAGCCTGGAGTCATGACCCCCAAGGGTGACATCCCCTTGTCCGCCCTTTCTCAGGTGCTCTTCGTGCTTAGAACCCACATCCCTCAATCCAGTGCGATGCTGAGCTCTTTTCTGCCCCTTCACTCTTCAAGGATTTACCTTCTCCGTTCACATGTAAATCCTGCTACTTTGCATCCCTCTCAACACCTGGAGTGTTAGGGCCACCCGCCTCCCTTTCCGTGGCCCTTCTTCCTCAGCTTTATTTTCCCTTTTGTCAGGGCAGGACCCACCCAGTCTGCGTTCTTCCCCAGATCCCGGTCCTCTCGTTTCTTCCGGAACAGGCCCACCTGTTCCATCTCTGTCCCAAGCTTTCCTAATAAGCCGCGTCTATAGCTTCCCCTGGCTGTTCCCTTTCCACTTTTATTCTTTATATTTTAAGTTTCCTTTTCCATTAAACTTGGGCAACCTAGTGGCTGAATAGAGAAGGAAGCCCCCACCCTGTTGTCATGTGTCCTGGGCGGGGGGAGGCGGGGGGCTTCTGTTTTTCATCGTGTACATCCTTATTAAAGTAGCAAGAAGTTTTGTTCGGCATGTAAGCCTGGGAGTGCCCTTGTGATTGCGTTTTAGGGGGAAGGAAAGGTTATAACTATCTGTGCAGAGTCATTAATTCCAAAAATGACTTGTTCTCAAAACTTCCCCACTGTGCTTGTGTGGACAGAGTGGAGAGTTCCTGCAGAAAGTATGCTTTGGAGTACTCAGGAGGGATCTTGCAACTGTAGGGTCCAGTTGCTGGAGTGGCCACCTTGCTTGTTTATAAGTTGAGATTTCTTTGAGTGAATTCTCTCAGGCTTTAAGTAACCCTGAAGAGGCTCTGATCATGGATACCGTGTTCTTCTGGTGGCCTGGCCTTGATAAGTCTTACAAGTGCCCAACTGTCTATGTTTGACACATTTTCTTTCCTTTTTAGTCCCAACTTGCCTTTTTCTCTGCTCAACAAATACCCACTTGTTTCCACAGTAATAATTTGTGACAACTTAGCCAAAATCCGCTGCTGACTTGGGCGCATGTACTGTATGTGTGTGTTTTCAAGTCATGGTGAGTGGGTCTTCATATCCCTCCTACTTCTCTCTCCTCCAGACAGCCTTCTTTTCTCTCCGAAGGAACTATAGGTTAAATTTTTATTTTGCTCCCTAACCTGAGGTTTCTTAGCCTAACTCTGACTGTTTCCATAGGTTTGATTGATGCTGATGGCCGGGTTTATCCCCTAGGGTCTGACACTTGTGATTCAGAGAAGGATATGTGATGATGACAGGGCGGAGTTGCTCGCAGCTGAGAAGTGTGTCGGGTTGAATGTGTTCGAGTGGCGTCTTCAGGGACATACTCACTTCTTTACTTAATCTTCAGCGTGAGCACATGTGCAAATCCCACTGTGATTGGTACTTTGTGTTTGCAGAGATTGGACTAGAAAGCAGTCTCTTGTTCACTGTGAGGCTTGATGTGGACAGAGCTTGTGGAAGTGGCTGGTGGGTCCTGGGGTGGTGTGGGTAGGAGTGATGAGGAGAAGAGTTGGAAAGGCTAGAGCTCTGTCTGCCCTGACACAGAAATGGAGGTGAGAGCAAGAGCCTCCTCCCCCTACCTAGAAGCAGACAGAGCAGGCCAGGGCAATGGCACTCTGGGAGCTGGACAAGGAGAAGCCCACTGACTGGGGTGCAGTCAGGGTGGGGCCCTTCTTATCGCTCAGATTTGTTGGTCCTGTTGAAGTAGCACTGCGAGGCTTTTCCTTCTTGAACTGCTGGAAAGAGGAAGAAATCTCTAAGATGGAAGAGGAAAGAGATCAAGGTAGCCTTAAGGAAGTACATCTGCGAGCCATTTGGCTTTGTCCTGGGCTTTTAGTCCTCCCTCCTTCTCAGTCTGGCAGAGCTGCCGGGAGGGGCATCTGTTGAAGGCCAGGCTCCCCTGACGAGGGTCCCCCTTGCAGCCCTGAAGGAAGGAAGTCCATCCTTCCTCAGTTCTGTTATCTTCAGACGTTTTAAATACTAACCAGTTTGTTCTGAGCAGCTTAAACAGCCCCTATCCTTTGAGGGGCTGTTTTTGAGATCACAGTCTTCTCCCTTCCAAGTATCCGTGGCCCTCGAGGCAATGGGCTTGGTGCCTCTCTTCTGGTGCCTGTCTTCTGGAACCTGACGGCCATGGCAAACACTGTTGTTTCCTGTTGGACCAGCTCTGACTGTAGAATGAACCCCCTTCTCGGCAGACAAGCTGTGAGGTAATTTTCCTTACTTCACCTCCCTGATTTCAGTGACCCTCTCAGACCACTGTCTTTATGTTCCTTTTTCTATCCAGAAAAATCACTTTTTTCTTTACTTACATGTTGCCTTGTTTTGTTTGTTTGTTTGTTTGTTTTTACCTGGGGGGGTTTGTCCTGAAGGAAGATGACTTATATATATTAATGCCTCTGGGGAGAATTCTGGTTCTGCAAGAATTTCTCATTCTGGCGCTTTGATAGACTTCTTGCCTTACTGTGCAGGGTTTGTAGACCCTCTCGGTCCAGGCAGTTGAGAACGTATATGCCAGGTCATGGTAGCCCATTCTTCAAGCTGCATAAACATGTAGACTGTTACAGGCACCACTCACACAACATGTCCAGTGTCAGCACCACCTTGTTGAGTTGACAGGATTCCTAGAGGCTCCATCTAAGGTACCCTGTGTACGCAAGGAAAGATGAACATACTCAGAGTCAAGCTTATGAAGCTACTTTCCACTTAGTTTTCTGAAGTGTCTGCTAGGTGTCTGCATAGAAAGAAACGGTTTAAACGAGGGGCGCTTTGTTGTAGTCTGCCTGCCAAAAAATTCCCCATTTTGGTGGTTTTGTCTATAGTCTGTGACTTGATGAAGTTTCTCAGCTTGGGTCTCAGCAGAACAGAGCTGAGCAGTCCTAGAGCTCAGCAAACTGTTCCAGTGCGGGGTAGCCACCCAGCTGTCAGCCAAAGGCCGTGTTGTCCAGTGTGTGTGTTGGCATTTGGGGGTGTTTACT